TTAATTCCTGTAGTCTTTCAAAAGCACTCTGCATTAGTTTTTTTTCAAATCTCTCCGATTTCTTGTGTTATTTTGTTTACTGCACACGATAAATTTACTTTCGGCACAGCATTGCATTTCATCAACAGTTTCTTTTGCGGCAATCCAAGCAAGCGATTTCTCATGTTATCTTCATAATCACTGCACAGAAAATGTTCGCTGCAAATTCTTTGCTTTTTTTCACATTAATAGAATCCTGTCTTCGACATTTATGTAACCATTCTTTCTTTCGTCAAAAGCAAATTGTCCTTGGGGAAAGCAAGAAATACAATATCTCTTCCTTTCGTATTTCTATAAGTGTTGCGGCACGTTGCTACAGCACAAGAAGACATATTACATAAAGAATACTTTAAATATAGAATTTAAAAGGAAAACTGACTAAAACTATATATACACAAATTATTTTAAATATTTGCATTATTAGAAAACAAATATGTATGATTAAAATGAATTTGGGATATGCGATCTCCAGAAAATCGTCTCGCAACTGAATGAAACTACAGTTTTAAAGGCGCGAAATCAGAGCAGGTGCAACAGAGATACGTCAGATTACTCCCGGTTCCCTTCCTCTCTGAGACTCGCGTCGGCGAGGAGTCGAACAAAGGAATGACCTAGCCCTTCTATTTATCCCTGCATGTTCGCTAGTTCATAGAGCTTTTCTTCTTTGAAAAAGAAGGGAGCAGTGACAACGTTAAGTCATGCTGACATTGAAACTGAACGCGAAGAAGTAATTCACAGCAAAAAAATTAATTAGCGTTTTAAATTTGAAAAACCAGCTTTAAAATGAGCTGCGCGTGAAAAATAGCTATAATTTAGAACAGACGATTTTACCTGCAGTATGCATTTTACATTAAACGTTTTAATAGTTAATATTATTTATTTATTAATTTTAAAATAGATGCTTTTAGATATATACTAATAGATAAATACTCGTTTAAAATAAAGTTTCATTTTCTTGAAAGCTGCAGTCCTTGTACGTTTCTTCATTTATTTATCTGCATACTAATTCGGAGAATTCTGTTACTCTTTCTAAGATTGTAGAGACATTAGAATTATTTTTTAAGAAGGAAAGATGAAAAATTAGCAACGCCTTCGCCGGGAATCGAACCACGGACCTCTAGAATACGCGCCCAGAGGTAGACTACTACACCACGAAGGAACGCTAAAGAGGCGGAAGGAATACCTTATATACTATTCCTTTTAAGGGGCGACTGAGGTTTTTAAGGGACCAATCGCCAAATCCTGGGTGTGGAGAATCATCATCCTTTTAGTTCGGGTGCCACTGTAGAGACATAATTTTTTTTTTTTTTTTTTTTTTTTTTGGTGGGGAAGCAGGAGATGTGAAAAATGAGCAACGCCTTCGCCGGGAATCGAACCACGGACCTCTAGAATAAGCGCCGAGTGTGCTGACCACTACACCACGAAGGCATGCTAAGAAAGCGGGAGAAATATCTGATACAGCTTTTAAAAGTTAGGCAAAAAAGCAACCTTAGGTTGGTGTAGTTTTGAAGATGCAAGGCAATTAATTCTTTTTTCCTGCAGCTAAAGAAGAACATATGTTTGATTGCCCTTGAAATGGATACTTTTATTCAAAATTTAATGTAATCTACGTTTGCTTCTTATAGCCTAGTTATAAATTTTACACTGGCGTGTTTCTCTTCCGATTTGATATAATAAGTTAATTTTAAAGTTATTTTCTAACTTAAACTCACATCTTTACTCATACATTAAATTTAAATAATTATAATATGCGAGATCGTTGTCTTAAATTTGACAAAACAATTTTACTTATAGAATCTAAAGAGAATTATTTAATTTTTCAAAAGTAGGGCTAAGGAGGAAAACTTTTTTATGCGAAATTATCCGAAGCAATGGGTATTCTAACATAATAAAATTTAGCACTCGGAAGGGTGATTGCGTTTCAATGGCAGTGATAGAAATGGTTAATAGGGATATTGCAGCAAGAGGTAAGATTTATAGTAAAAATAGAGAAGGAGGCAAAGTAGTTGCACAAAGTTAATTGTTATCATAATTGTTCTTCTTATGGTAAGTAGGTTACGCTACTTTGTAGGTTACTTTGGTGAATTGTTGGTTTTGGCATATTTATTTTATGCGGCCCTCAAAAACATTTTCATTATGTATTTGTTTGGAAATACGGTGTTAAAAGATTTTAGTTATTTGAGGTTCTACTTTATGTTATTTTCACTTCCATTAAAAACGAACGTGAACACCGCGCCAGAAAATCTGCAAATGTAATTAATTAATTATCAATGTGATATAAATCTTGTTCAAAGATTTCAATATACAGATTTCATTAACTATAGTTGTCAAAAAATAACCTCAGTTAAGAACTTTTGCACTAAGAATAATTGTCTTCTTTGGGAATACATTTAGATGCGAAGAGCTTTTTTTTCACAGTTGAAAACTGATAAGAAACCCGATTCGCATATGTACAATCCGTGATGAAGACAATTTCCAGTAATTTGTCCCTAAGGCTGCAAACTTTATAATAATCTAATACCATCAAGTGTCAAGCTGTAGTAAGGAATACAGAGTTTTTAATTATTTGTATACGTATTTTTATTTATACGACGAAGAAAAATGTAACAAATAAGAGATAAAAGTCATTTATTCTCAAGTTTGTCTGAAAACTTAGAAGTTTTTCATAATCTGTTTAGTTTAAATTTTATTATATTATTTAATGATTAATTAAACATACTTGAGTTATCCGAAAGGAATGCTGAGTCTAAGAACTTAATATTTAGCTCTCAGTAGGTTTGAATTACAAAGCATAACCAAGAAATATCGCTTGCGGGTAATAAAACAAAAAATAAATAGATTTCAAACAAAAAATAAATAGAAAGTTCAGTTTCCTTCTCCATACGATATCATTACATTATTGTTTATGTCACGTTTTCATAGATATTTAGTAAGAAAAATTTTAAATACTTTTTATTTATTTATTTATTTATTTTTCTCCCTTGAAAAGAATTGGCCTTTCTGTTGCTTCCATATACTGAATATTCTGTTGCTTCCATATACTTTTCTGTTGCTTTCTGTTCCATATACTGAATGCTCCCAGCATGCATTTTAAGTTTGACATTTCTGTTTCACACGATTATAAACTATATAAAATGCTCAGCTAGCTCTTTTTTTTTTTTTTTTTTTTTTTTTTTTTTTTTTTTTTTTTTTTTTTTTTTTTTTTTTTTTTTTTTTTTTTTTTTAATTTCGCTACTTGAGATTTTAGTTTTTGAATTTCTGATACAAATTATTTTTTTCTAGATAACGTCCACTTTTTTTCTGTCGCTGAACATGGATTTTAAAATTTTCCTTTTTTTGAATATTACGGTATCATTATATATGATTTTTATTTTCCCCTTCATATTTAATGCATTCTTGTTTATCTTTAAAGAAGATTCAGGGATATTTACATAATCATAAGTGAGCCTGCAGGGCATCATTTCAGTTTCCTACCAGTTATTTTATGTTAAATCGCTTTCCTATCTTCCTCATTTTCATTTTCCTGTCACAATGCAAATTTCTTGCTCGCGTGATTTTCAAATGAGGTAGAAAAAAGAAAGTATTTAAAGGGAGGTTTTTAGCGGCTAGAATCGCAGCTTGTTCTGCCTGCTGAACGCCGCGTTGCTAAATTGATTCTCCTGCTAATACTAGTATTCTGCGGCGTTGCGTTATTCTCGCCATTACGCTTGTAACGCCGAGCTTAGATCACAGCCAGCTCATGCGCTATTCTAATTGTGCTTGGGCTAATAGGCTAACTTACTTTCCTTAGCTTTGGTCAATTCATTATCTTTGATTTAAACCAAAACTGTTGGCTTTTGTAAGCATGAAGGCTGCCGTGTGTTAACTTTTTATTTGAGTAAAATAAAAGGGTCCTTCATACACTTTCATTTTAGTCATTCTTGTCATACAAGACATAGTGATAATTCACTAATGGTCTGTACAACGTTTCGTACATTGCATTGTTAGCAAAGAAGACGGAACTCTATTTTGAAATCCTTCATATTCGATTTATAATTGTCATCATCATTTTTCGTATTCGGCTTAATATGAATTTTCTTCGGTCTTAATTCGTGTAGTTTTTCAGAAGCACTCTTCATTATTTTTCTTTTCTTGGCACAAAATTTAACTTTAACAGTTTCTTTTACGGCACTTCCAAGCAAGCAATTTTTGTGTCCTCTTCATATTGACTTCACAGATTTACAAATTCTTGCGTTCTCTGACGTATCTATTCTTTAGCTAAAAGAAAATTGTCCTTTGGGAAAACAGGATATACAATATTCTTGAATGGCACTTAAGAGGAAAAAAAAATAGCCTTGAATTACTCTAGTTTATTCTTTAACCGGCCCCTCAGTGCTTGGAATAGGAAGCTGAAAATCACAAATTTTCAAATTATATATCTCCCCCAATTTCAACAAGGTGAACCTATAGCCATCGGTGCTTGGGAACTTGCCCGAATTGCCTTCTACCCCTGTGCGAAATTTGCTCGACTTATGACTCACCTCGTGACCCAAAACTAGGTATCACCAGGAATAAAGTCGACTTAAAAGATAATGATCAAGACATTCATAACACCTTCACGACCGCGCATATTCAGCAAATTACACTTCGACGTAGAAGACAGGATAGTTCTCAGAATGTATGCTTGTAGACAGCAAAATAAACCTTCAACTCATTACTCCTCCTCCATATGAGATGATAGCATGTACGTGACTGGGTTCACTTTCTATTATAATACAAATACGACATAAACAAGAGTGAAGAAAGTAAAAGTGCAAGTTAAAACCCGGGGCGTGAAACCTTCAAGGCGGGATTTTGAAATCAGTGTCGGAAGATAAGAACTGGAAATTGACACGATGACCTCTTGGATCATTTCTATGCGTGCGGAAAGCGTAACAGCAATTAAGCATTCAAGACGTATTTTGCACTGTAGTAAAACAGAAGAAGTTCAACTGGTACATCGCATATATAAAGAGCCGGTGACAACGATTGACATCCACATCGTCCCTGCACAGCTGCTCGAAGTTCAGCCATCTCTATCTCCAAGATGAAGGTAAAATTCTGTTTTACGTTTTATATTGCTCGAAGTTTTTGCCCCTTCTTTCAAAACTCTATCTTTAGCTGTATTATGACAATTATGACAATTATTTTTAAAATTTTCCAAAGAGTTAGTTTTGAATAAATTCCTATCTTGTCGCTGATGTCAAAATTTTTCCTCAGACTAGAAGGTTATTGCAATATAAGGCAAGCGGCATGGTTCAAAGGTAGAAATTTAACATTAATCATGGCTATTAGAGAGTATGCTCCATCTCCGCTTCCTCAGTGGCAACTAGTTCCTATTCAAATTCTGTTAAGTCCAAAAATCAAATACTAACTGAATTGTGTGTAAACGATTTAAAGGAGTAACTATAGAATATACAGACCAAGCATTAGGGATTTGTAAAAGCTTAACTACAAAATAAAACTTTAACTAAAAGGCAAGCAGCCATATCTTTGTAATGGTTTTTTTTAATATGACAGACAATCGTTTTAGGTCTAAAATAACAGGAGTGACTTCCTTAATTCTACATGTTAATTCAAAATGGACATTAGTCCCGAACGAGATTAGTCTCGAAACGGTATTTTGCGTCGAAACACTTAAATGTGTTGCATTATTTTTCAAATTGTTGCCACCAAATATTACCGTTCTGTATTATATTTTTAAAAAAACCTAAATAATGAAGAATCAGCACAAATGTATCCCTGTTTCTCGCGCTGTGAAAAAACGACGGTGCACAGGGCCATCAGATTTTGAATAAAGTAGTACTCCACTCGAACATGGATACCTGGAAGCCCGAATTTTGAATTTCGAAATTGGTTTATTACCTATTTCAGATTTTGTAACACTTTAACTCGCTTTGAAGTCGCTGAGTTTGTTAATCAAATTTTTGATTAACAAACTCAGCGACTTCAAAGCCAGCAGTGGCAACATTATACGAAAACAAAAAAGGATTTTTATCTTCAGCGCGTGACACTGTCGTTGGAAATTCTAAAGATACGTTGTTTTTAAATATTTCGTATGATTTTGCTGTTGAATCGAGTTTTACGTAGCGTGAGAGCGAAGAACATGGTATTTAATAAATAAAGTTAACACATAAAACGTTGAAAAGTGCAAAAAAATAAAAAGCTTTTCTAAAGCCAACTTAGTCAGAAAACTGAACATTATGATGAACTGGGAAAAACACAGAAAAATGTACGCTAATAATTAACGCTGCATCGAGAATTCTAAACGTATACTGCAATGCTGCTTTTAAAATTTTTTGCGATTTTGTTGCTTAATTGTATACGGCGTAAATGCAAAGAAAAGGATGTTTAATAATAAAGCTTAAAACACCAAAAAAATTGTTAGTAACGACAAAAGAACAATAAAAAAAAAATAGGCTAGCAGGAGTGAATGGAACAGCAGACTAGTACACTGCAAGCTCAGCAAGAGTGTAAAAAATCTTAACAAGTCCTTTTGGGCGATCGTTAAAATCTGAAATCTCTCAGATTTTATTACTATCATTAATTTTTATTTGATTTCTGTTTGGTGTTAACAGTTAGGTAGCGGTTAAAAAAGTTTATAAGATGCCAACATATTGTGATAAATCAGTTTGTTAACCCATTGGAATGAATATTTATTTAAGTTTTTTTCACACAATAAAGCTATAGTATAACAGCTTTCAAGCATTTCATTTACAGTAAAATCGACCTAAAATGATAACCGCTCTACACAATTTTGAGCTCCTGAAGATGATGCGTGATACCAGTGTTTATTTACATTCCTAGATATAATAGTCACTTTCGGAAACAGTCGTGGGAAGTGGTCTTCAGGAGAGGTTCCATTAAATGAATAGCATTAAAATATTCCCCACAAAAATCGCAATATTTTTTTCCAAATGTTCAATTTCATTGCTGTCGCTTTCAGGCACTCCACAGTGGCTGGGGATCTATTGAAAAACAAGCTCCCAGGCAGAGGCAATTGCTTTGGATACATTTATCTTAATCTCTTCAACAAGAAAGTAATCACTAGGTGTGCAAGAGACAGCTGCCACAATTGTAGCCCGAGGTCAACAAATATAACTGCCTTGATAAAGTTAGTATCAAGTCCATGAAGATTTAAAATTGCTTTTCCCATGGCAAAAATATTTGCATCGAAGTTAGAGGCATTAAGATCAGCGGCATAGAAGAAAAATATTAATACAATAGTTTTTCTTTTATGCTAAGATATCTTCAAATGTAAAAAACACCATAAATTTCAGCCTGGTAGTTGGACCAGGATTGAAATCCTGGTGAACGGAATATTGGACTGGTTGCATGGACGCTTTCGTGCTTTTCCTCATGCGTAACATAGACAGGAGCTAGTTTCCAATAGAACGTCCTCTACGAAAGCATCCCTTCTCTTAGGCAGATAGCCTTCGCGCACTTTGTCATACTCAGATATTTTTAATAACTGATTATGATTTATTATTTAAATTAACAAATCAAAATGTTTTATTGTTTCAAAATAAATATTAATTCGAGAAAAAAATCCGCAATTCTAAGACGCATCACAATTTTAGAGGCGCTTGTATTGAAAAAATGTTGTTTCTTAGAATAATTATATAGGAGGGAAAAAATAAAATAAATATTTAGATTCATTTTATTTTATATAATAAATGAAGGAAGAAGAAAATTCAGTGAAAGAGAATAATGGTAATTATTAAAGACTTTTAATAATTGAGGCTCCTTAGAAATCAAATTTAATTACGAAATTCTTTTTTTCTTCATTCCTTAACTAGTTTTCCTACTGCATTTTTTTTTTTTTTTTTTTTTTTTTTGTTTTGTTATCTCGGATTAATACAAGGTATTGTTTTTTTCCCTACAGGTTTTCGTTATCTTTCTTATCTTAGTTGGAGTAGCTGTTGCTCAATACGTAAGTATATTTCATTTTGAATCTTTACTGCACACATAAATTTGTAAATTCTTTTCCTTATCATTATTTATTTTATTTAATATGTGGAAAAACTTTGCTTTATTATTTAAGAAATTGCTTAATGATTACAAGTTAACTTCCTGTATCAAAAATATAATAAAGAACATAATTTTACAGCACAATTTAAGCTTTTGTAAGCACATTCTTACTTTAACTATACAGGACCCAAAAAAAGGTAAAATGTTTCTAAAATTCTTTCGTAACCAAAGCCAAAGCCAGCCCACCAGCGGCCGAGCGGTAAAGTCGCTGAACACTGGTAGTTCGGTCCGAGGTTCGAATCCCGCGAACGGGCTGGCTGCATGGGCGTTTTCGTGGTTTTCCCCATGTGTAACGTGTATACGAGCCAGTTTCCATTAGAAAGTCCTCCACGAAGGCATCCCTCCTCTTAGGCAGATAGCCCTCGAGGCTTTGCCATAATCACACACCCCCCCCCCGTAACCAAAGCCAAATTCTGCACAAACTAAAAATAATATAGATTGTTTTTCCTTCTAATGGCAAGGCAAAATACAGCAGAACGAGCAAATTGGTTGAACAAATATAACAATTCGATAAAGATGTTCGCCTAGGCAATCTTGGCTTGTAAGTAGCCGAAAAGCGAGATCATCAGACTTCCATTGTTTCATCTTAATGCTATCCAACAATTTCAGTTGATGTCTTTGTTTCATAGACTGTTTTATGTTCAGCTTTATAGAGTGATATGACATATTTGAGTTTGTAGATTGTAATAGTTATGCGCCTTTTCGTGCGAGGAAATTTGCCTGTTCGTTTCTATACACTGACTATCAATAAGTATTTGGACACCTATGCAAGTGACGATATCTGTGGTCCTAAGGTGTGCCACGGACTCCGCCGTTATATATCGTGTAGGAAACAGCACCGGCTTTAGTCGCATGCAAGATGCCTCGCAGTTCGGAGCTCTCTGATTTCGAGAAAGGTATAATTATCGAGAATCACAAATGTGGCCGATCCTTAAGGGACATATCTAGCGATCTGAAGTACACAAAATCGACAGTGGCCTATGTGATTAAGAAGTGGAAGATGAGCGGTGATTGTCGGAATGTGCCCCGAGTCGGCAGACCAGCGAAACTGGGAGATAGAGACCGACGAGTGCTGTCCAGAGAAATTCGGAAGAACCGCACTCAACCAATGTCCCTCATCCGCGAGGAGTTTCAAAAGGCATCCGGGAGTATTGTTTCAATGAATATCATCCGTAAGGAAGCACATCTGCTTGGTTTTCATGGTCGTGCTGCTGCCCATAAGCCTTTGATCACAAAGTCTAACCGCGCTGCTCGGTTAATGTGGTGCTAATCACATCGAAATTGAACCGTAGATCAGTGGAAACGGGTTCTTTGGAGTGACGAATCCAGGTTCACCCTTTACCGTTCAGATGGCAGGGTCTGGGTGTGGCGTCTACCTGGAGAACGTCTCCTGCCAGAATGCATTGTGCTAACAGTCAAGTTCGGCGGAGGTGGAATTATGGTCTGGGGGTGTTTCTCCTGGTATGGGCTGGGACCCTTGGTCCCCATTCATGGTAAGCTCAACTCCGACGCCTACTGCACTATTTTGGATGACAAGTGTACTTCCTACGTTGTGGCAGTTTTACGGGTTGAACCCCTGTTACTTTCAGGACGACAATGCCAGTTGTCATGTAATTACCTCTCGTTGAGGTTCTACCAACTATTGATTTTGAATATAGTTTTTCCTTTCTATCACAGGTGTCCAAATACTTATTGGTAGTCAATGTAGATGCCACTGTATCCAGAGATCCAGTGTATTCTAATTTTCTGATTTTTCTGCAACAGGCTTCAGCTTAATTCTCGGCACTGAAGAGCTTCTGTTGATATTATGCTGGTTTCTAAAGAGCCAAAGGCTTGAATTCCTCCTTTTGAAACTGATAGCAGGACAGCATTCTCGAATTTATAATGTAATGCCAATAATTGTTTGAGGAAAATTTTAATACATATTAAAATCAGACCGCACATATTAAGTCAGAATAATATGTGCATTTGGCAATACACAATAAAATACCAGATACTCATTGCTTATCAAAACTATTTCCGTACTTTGGACGCACGTCAATACTCACCATACTAATCGGCAGGAGATTATATAAAACTCTCTTGTAGTTAACTGGTGAACCCACATCTGCCTATCTCACTCTTAATTACTAGCTAATCCAAAGCATGGTAGCAATACGACACCGTAAAAATTAACTGTAAATGCTTTAAAATGGGCATATAACTTGCACAAACTTCACATTTTGCTTCATTTTATTTCCTTTCATTGGAAAGCCTCAGGTGTTTAACTTGCAGAGCATCAAAACATCTAGAGGACAAGTTTAAAAAGGCAGAACTTTCACTGCTTGCTGCCTTAACAGCATTTATTAAGGGCCCTTGAGCAAATGAGTGTGCTAGAACCCTTACATAAACCACACACAGGAATGAAATGCAAACGAATTAACATGGAGCCTCTATGCTCGTGGGGCACGCGGGTAAATGCCAAGTGGGCCCATACCTTAAGACGTCCCTGAGGACATGTCATCCAAAACCTGTACATGTAGTAACCCTATCTTTGGTAATTTTATAATAATTGCGATATCTATACATGCATTTCTCATGCAGTACAAGTTTAGATCTTATGTCAACCATTCTTTCCCATCTACAGCAAGATCATCTTCACGTATGCTATTATGATTGCTATTATAATATTTCCAAGATATTCGGTGTCACATGCATTTATTTTACTTAATAAAAGTCATATTTCAATAATTGTTTGATGAGAAATTTGCATTTTTAGGAGCCTCAAGGAATACCCATTCCTTATTCCTTCAGCTATTCGGCAAACGGTGAGGACGGTGGACAGAGTTCCCACCAGGAATCCGGCGATGGAGCAGGACGTGTAAGCGGATCCTATTCCGTCAGGAATCTGGAAGGACATGAAAGAGTTGTCGAGTACGTTGCCGACGAGGGTGGATTTAGACCAGTCATTAGAACCAACGAACCAGGTACCGCCAGTGTCAACCCTGCTGACGTTGTTATTGAATCTTCAGCTGACCAAGGAGGGGCTCCTGTTTCTTCCGGTTTAGGAGTCAGATCCGTGGTAGCTCGTCCAGTGGCAGTCGCTCCAGTTGCACCCGTTGCTCCAGCATCTGCTGGAAGACGTGCTGGCGTTCGATATGTCCTTGTCCCTGCTACAGACCCTAGAGCACGAGGATATAATTAAATGACTTTCGCTCTGTTTTAACAAAATTGCTCAGGGTACTAAATTTGCAAATCAAATGTCAGTGTTGTCCGTCTGTCTTTAAACTTGCTTCTCACATGCTTCAAAGGGAAATGTAATTGAAATTAAAAGATTATTAATTCACTGCCATTTCTGTATGGAAAAAATCCCAGGCCAGTATCAAACATCAAATCAGGCAAAAATGAGCCTTGGAATCAACCTTAATCATATAAAACAATGCCAGTGAATAGACATACATGATTATAGTCCAATTTCTCTTTGAAAAATTGCTCACCAGCGGCCGAGCGGTAAAGTCGCTGAACACTAGTACTTCGGTCCGAGGTTCGAATCCCGCGAACGGGCTGGCTGCATGGGTGTTTTCGTGGTTTTCCCCATGTGTAACTTGTATACGAGCCAGTTTCCCTTAGAAAGTCCTTCCCGAAGGCATCCCTTTCCTTAGGCAGATAGCCCTAGTGTGATTTGCCATAATTAAATACACCCACACTCTTTGAAAAATTCGCCACAAAGGCATATTTTTCCTTATCAGCACTCGTGTGCTTTACGATAATAAACTAAACAAAATACCAACACTATTCCAAGGTGTATTTTTGCTTAAATTTACATTACTATAATTCATTTATCGTGAATATATCTTTTTGCTTTCCACTGTCAAAATTGAAATAATCAATATACGATAGTGAAAAACAAAGAAAATCACAATTTTGCTTGTACTATTTGTTATATTTTAGATAAGAACTTTTCCAAATGCTTTTGTTTGTCATGATATATTTATGTTTTCTTTTTTTTTTTTTTTTTCTTAATTTTAAAAGAAACTACCTCTTATATGTACGTTTCTTACATCGCTTAGCTTTGTTTTAAAGATGTCTGACTATATGTGCATAATAAATATTATTTTTTGTTTGAAAAGTTTGTGATTTTACCTTATCAGCGTTTACAAAATCATTCCCTTACATTATAATTAGTTATGCACAAAATCATTTTGCTACATTTTTATATTACTTTTATTTCAACAAGCCTAAATATTATCCACCGTATATATATTTGCATTTCAACAATAAATTACAAAACATTTATTAAATTTAGAAAAATTCATCAGTTTTATATCATTATCTCCCTTTGTAACAAGGATTTATGAATCTTACATTTAACAATAACTAATAAATTATTGAAAATATACGAGAAAAAATATCTGTTGCGGTCACCACATGACTTCCTTGTACGGCCTATTAAATTATACACATTTATTTATTTATTTATTTATTTGGCTGCATTTCATTTAAACTTATATCCTCAAATTTCATTAGAGATATATTTCTCATTCAATTAAATCAGTTCTTACTTCGCGGCAAAGCAAAAATACAGAACATTACTCATCATCGTTAACATCAACATCATCAACTCAAAACATCTTCATTAAAAACTGAAAAATAGTAGAAAATTTTTTTCAGCCATCGGGCTAGAAGGCAGATTTTACGGTGCACAAAACAGAAAAATAACTTTTGTCCAACTGGACAAAAAGCCATTGAACGCGCAGAAACTGAATTCATTTTTCCACTGAGTTTTAAATGTAAACAAGTGGCGATTCGCTAGGCTTAATTCCCACTTAAACTTCTAAACTGTTGATAATTCTACGACTGCTGCATGCAGATTAAGTAAAGGCATAAAAACCTTAATCAGAACATAAAAACTATATAAATTAATCACTTTTAAAGGAAAGAATGCCTTTATTCTGTCCGTGCGTACAGAGGTAACGCAAAAACATCGTTCAAATGGTTTCAAGAGCAGTCGAAATGAATATTTTCTTTGAAAAATGACACTTGAAATTTCTTGCAATTACAATACTTCCTTTATTTCGTAGAAGGTTTTTCATTTTAAATATAATTACAATGAATCCCATTTACTTAAAGTACTAAAGAGCTGAAATATATATTAGACAGAATAAGTTTTGCATTTTAATTAGGATCACAATGAAAAGTCTAATGGCTAATGCTAAATACAAATTATGTGATCACGTCTGTCCATTGCTATTTTGATGACATTAACCAAATGATAACATTAAACGATGGAAAAGAAATGCCCATCAAAACAGCCAAAATTTAACAAATTTAATACAAATATAACTAGAGACATATATATAAATAGGGAACTTCGCGGTACTTTAATCAGAAAATATAACAGTTTTCACCCGACCGCACCGCCGAGAAACTAGTACATTCCATTTCTCGAAATTACTGAAAGGCATACATGGTTAAGTTACATTTAAGAGCCGGATACGGTTACAGTTGCATATACAGATTAATTACATTTATAATACCCGTTACAGTCATAGAGGGTCTGGACTAAAATGTCACTGAATTTGGCGACTTTTGAAATAAAATTAGTCGCCAAACCCATCGCCAGCTCGGCGATATCTCGGCAATTAAGCGAGATAGCCATTTACACAATGTTAAATATATCAGCACCTGTATTTTTACTTTTCCAGCAAAGCATCGCCTCTTTAGGTATTCATGTTATATTATTCCAAAAATACTACAATTTCACATAACTTCTCAAGGAAATTCTACCGTGGGATAAATCTTAACTAAGGATGAAAAAGAGCTAATTATTGTAAACTGTGTGATAAATCTTAATCAAAGATTTGTGAATAAATATTTGACTAAACTTTTATACGAATTTCACAAAACATAAATGCCTCAGTCACAAATTTTTGCACTAAGAATAATCGCTTTGTTTGGGATTGCGTTTACACGTGAACAGTTTGTTTCCTCAGCTGAAAATTAATAACGCTGCGAAAAGAACCAGATTGCCGATAAGTGTCTGTAATTTGTAATGAAGATACTTTCTACAATTTTTTTTATAGCAATTTTCCTCCCAGGTTACAATCTTTATGGAAATCGAAACGCCATTAGTTGTTGCAGTTAATTGACAGGGTATACGTAGTAAAATATAAAAGTTTATAAATTATTTACATGCAAATATGAATTTTTTTGTATGATTCACACAAAAACGTAATAAATAAAAAATAGTCTTTTTTTTCCCTCAATTTTTGATCCTCTCGGAAAAATTTTCGTGTAATTCTTTTTTAAGTAAGTTATTTAGTGGTTACTTCAATGCGATACAATTATTTGAATAAATGTCAGTCTCAAATTTTAACATTTAGTTCTCAATACGTTTGGACTACAAAGTGTGACCAACAGAAATTTCTTACATATGCCAACCTTTAGATTTCAGACAAAAAATAAATAAAAATTTGATTTTTTTTAGGGCGGTTGTGGCAATTTTATACTTTGAAAAAATATGTGGCAAAAAAAAAAAAAAATAATAATAATTTTCTTTCGTTAAAAAAAACTGTCCACTGTTTTGAGATCGTGAATTTGGCCCGCGTGCAATTTGAATTTGAGACCACCACGGAGGAAGGAATAGATTTTTCCACTGAACCGGAACAATCGAAACAATGACAGTAGGTAGAGCCGTTTTACTAGTAAATGATAAAAACGCCAAGCAGGTGGTAAGATACAGAACTGCTTTTGCAAAAGCATCATATTGCAATAGAATTGATGAAGAGAAACCACTTTAGCAATTTATAGCTGTCAAACACAGTATTCTTGGAAGAATAAACTAAGTAAATCACATTAGTACGTACAAAGGGATAAAAACCCACACTTATCGGAAATAGACTTGCAGAACCACAGCAATCCGCCCTCTTCCCCCAAATAAAAGATAATGATCGTCTGAGAAAATATGGAAGCGGTGGAAGAAGCTTGGCAAAAATGTCAACAAGTCATTAACTCATTGTAAGGTAACCTATTGTTGATTCTCTAGCTCAGTACAACAGTCTCAAATTGAAGGCCCACGAAGCAGCTTTATGCCGCTCGCGAATACATTTCAATTACGTATTTCTTGAAAATACAGAAAATCTACAATTTTATCCTCTCGGGAGTCCAAGTTCACATTATTTTTATTACCTAGAAACGAACATGAATAACGCAACAGAAAATTCACAAATAGAGCTAATTAATTTACGATATTATTCAGAGATTTTAAGATACAGATTTGATTATCTTTTACTGGTACTTTAATGGTTAAAAAAAAAAAAAAATACACTCAGTTACGAATTTTTGTACTAAAGAATAATCGCTTGGTTTGGAAATGCATTTATATGTGAACAGCTTTTATTCACAGTTGGTTTGGGTTTGATTTAGTTGCTTATGGCAAAGCACACTAGAGCTGCCTGCCTTCGTGAAAGACTTTCTAAGGTAACAGGCTCGTATGCACCTTTCACAAGGGGAAAACCACGATGAAGCCCGTGCAGCCATCCTATTCTTTTAAAATAGAAGCCAGGCCAGAACAACCAGTGTTCAGCAGTTTTACCGCTCGGCAGCTGGTAGGCTTTATTCAATGTTAAAAATGAATAAGAAAAGAACGCTGTTAGCTGATGAACCTCTACAGTCCGTGAAGAAGATTATTTCTAGTAATTTCTTTCCAAACTTTATCAGATTTAATAAATAAGTGAGAAATGAGGTTGCTACAGGTCTCGTCTCACTTTGGAAATTGCTTAGTTTCCGTCAATCAAATGGCGCAGAAGCTGAAGAGAAGTTTCGTTTTGAAATAACTTTATTCAACTACTCTCACGTTATACAAACCAAACTGTAAACTCATAATAACTAAATATCCATGCATAAACACCTAATAATAATCCAGTAACACAATTACAGTCAGGAATTGTGTAAAACAATTACAGGTCATCTACATTCCAGTGATCAAATTCTACGAACGATTTCCAAGTGTGTTGCCAACGCAGGGCAACGAAAAGATGTAAATTAATTACGAGAGGGGTAAAAGTAAACAAATTTTCTCCGAAAACTTAATTCCATAATTTGTTTATTTTTTAGTTCAAAGTAAGTAATCTAATGATTAATTAAACCTTACAAAATTATTTGAAATAAATGTCAATCTGAAAATTTAGTATTCAGCTATCAATACATTTCAGTTACAAAGCGTAACCAATAAAAAGGTTTTGCAGGTACCAAACATTAAATTTTCATAAAAAAATTCTTTTTCCCCATCTAAGATATTGTTATTATCGTTTACGTACGTTCTGATAAATAATGAGTAAGAAAAATTAAAAAACTTG